CAAGCCACTCCCACTCGGTTCACATGGCTGGCAAGCCACTCCCACCCCGGTCACATGGCTGGCAAGCCACTCCCACAAAGCAGGCCAAACCTACAGAAGAGGTTCTAAAAAATTTTGAAACCCACCACTGGTTGGGGGCATTATAGCACTCTGTTGTTGTTACAGTTGGAGACAGAGTTTCCAAAGCTCTTTTATGATTACTGACTCCTCATTTAGTGAGAATTGTATTTTTGAATGATAAAAACTAATTTCAGCAGTTGACCAAATCAACTGAAGAAAAAAGATTAAAGCAAGAAGATATTATAAGAGTGTATTTTAGGAGTGATCTGTGGAATTTATTAATGATCTGTAGAGAAATAAATTGGAACTGTACTTGATTCAGCTCCCAATGCCCACATCCTCTCATGCCATATTGTTTCATAATAGCTATGTCTTTTAAACTAGTGATATAATCAGGTTAATATGGGTGATTGCCAGATTTAATAAGCAAAATTTCTCATATGGGATTAAGCACATCAGCAGAAATAAGTAATCTAACCAAGAGAGATTTTAAATGAAGGTCAAGTAAAACTTTGCTCTACTTTGGCTTATTGAACTAAGACTTGTGTTGACTAAACTTACCATATTTTTCTCAGTATAAGACGCACTGGAGTATAAGAAACACCAAGATTTTGAAGAGGCAAATTTTTTAAAAAAGTTTTTGCACTCTGCAGACCTCCCAAAAATGGCCCCTTTTTTTGCAAAAACGGGTCCTTTTTTGTCAAAAAAAAGGCATGCATAGCCTTTAGGAGGCTTGTAGAGTGCTCCTTGGGGCTGGGGGGGAGTAAAAATGAGCATAAAACGGCCCATTTTTGTCAAAAAAAAGGGCACGCATAGCCTTTAGGAGGCTTATAGAGTCCTCCTAGGGGTTGGGGGGCAAAAAAATGGCCCATTTTTCACGCATTTATGTCCTTCCCAGTATCCAGGAGCACCTGGAAGCCTCCTAAAGTCTCTGCACGGCCATTTTTGCAAAGGGGGCGGGGTTTTAGGAAGCCAAAAATGCTGCATTCAGTGTATAAGGCATATCCAGGTTTTCAGCCTTTTTTTTTCTTTTTTCTTTTTTTTTGAGGGAAAAAGGTGCGTCTTATACTTTGAAAAATACGGTACTTGATTTGTTAAACATGTAATGTTTGAAACTGAATGGCCATGCTGGAAACTTAAAGTTCAAAGAAAAAGCCAAGCCAACACTTTGTCCCCTGACATCCATTTGCCACACAGAGAAAGTTCTTAGCTGATACTTAAATTTTATTTCACGAATGAAAGCGAACTTCCCTGGAGATGGGTTCCAGCACAAGTCTGAAAGCTCAGAAGACAAAACCTCTGGTCCCGGTGACTGTCCCAGATTGGATCCCTAATTTTTTGTTTGCTTGTTTGTTTTTCACATTTTTGAATCACCCATCTCTTCGAAAAGAATCTGGGCAGGGTACAATTAAATATTGAAATACGAAAACAGCATATAAATGTTAGAATGTTAGAATTAAAATTTTGGAAGGAGACAAGAATAACAATTAAATCCTGTGAAAAATGTGAAGGGGGAGCTCTCAGGGCACCAACCAGCCCCATAGCTTTATGCTTCTTTGGGCTCCTCACATGAGGCTTCAGAGCTTTGTTTTAACTCCTCTTTAGAAAGTCAGCACAGTGAGAGCATCTGCCTCTCCCCCAGAGGGAGAATATTTCACAGGATGGCAGAAAAGGCTGTCAGAAAAGTTGGAGTTCTTTCATTGAAAAGATCTGCAACACACCTTCCCTGCCTGACCATATGTGGCAGGCTAATGTAATGAGGTGAAGCTGGTTCTGTAGGTAGCTTGGCTCCATGCCATGTACAGCTTTATAGGCTCCAACCAACACCTTGAATTGGATCCAGAAGCAAACTGGTGCCCATTGGCATTCATGGAGATGACCCATGTGCCCTTCTCTGGGCATCCTAATATAGTTTGTGCAGCCTCATTTTACACCAGCTGAAGCTTCTGAATACATTTCAAGGGCAGCCCCATCTACAGCAGATTGCATGTTATCTTATGCTTCACGAGAGAAGGCTAGAAACTGTAGAGAACAAGATGGCTTGTTATTCTGCTTTTGCAGCCTTCTGGATACCTGAAAATAACAACCAGCTTCTCTAACCTAATTCTGGTGTTGTATCATTGTCTCAGAGTTTGTTGTTTGTTTTGACCTATATTGCTTGTTCATAATACTGCTGATTTATAATTCACTATGTGTTGCTTGATAGTCTTATTTACAAATTAAGGGAAGGAACAATAGAGTAATTAAATAAACATGATGTCTCTTTGATTAGGTGTGATGACATCACTGTTGATTCAGATATAGTCTGTCTAGAGGTATCACAGTTTGGTCTTGGAAATATGTTCTATGAACAGTACATAATATAAGAAATAATATTTCATATAAAATAATTCTTTCTAGCACTATTTTAACTAAATGAAGAATTGAGCCACCGAAGGATTACATGTCGATCTGTATTAGCAATCTGTTTTATTTGCTTTGTGCTATGCGGAGCAATCACTAATGTTGCTGTTTGGAAATTCAGTACATTTCTGAGGTGACCTTTTGAGTTGGCTGCCTACTTTCCCTCTTCATCAGTATAGTTTTATTCTGGGTAAAGGATGATAAAAAGTATGTAAGCTGAACACCATGCAACATTTGCAACAATATCGATAAGGTTAAAGTTTGTACTAGCAGACAATTTAGATTCACAACTATCTACTGATTTTTCCATTTAGATTCACAACTATCCCATTTAAATTCACAACTATCTACTGATTTGTCTTATTCAGAAGTAAATGTGATGAGGCAGTGATGACAGAAAGAAAAAGCTAGCATTATATGTGATTTTTTGAGAAAGCTTCAGTATGCAGTCCTTTCCCTTGTAACTCAGATTGCCACATGTGCGCTGCATTCTGGAATGCCCCAGTCTTTGAATAGGACTTTCCAGGAAGATGCTTGAAATAAAGTCTCTTTTTCCCCTTCCTTCACATTTAAAAAAATCTAATCAGAAGATTCTCTAGTTGTCAGTACCTAAGTTAGTACCTAACTTATATGACAGAATACTTACTTTTCCATGTTATTATCACTAGAATTATCAAAATCTTATCCCTATAAAGTAGGCATGTTTGGGAGTTATTGCAGAAATTGAGGTAGGTGGCTGGAGACTATAATTTTATCAGGAAGGAAGAAAACACAAGTCTGAGAAGACGACAGCAAAGAGCAATAGCTGAGACGTCAGGGGACCAAATAAAGAGAAGCAGAAACAGCTGAGAACAACCTGAAGAAAAGCAAAAGCAAAATAAAAACCAATAAATACTGGAGTTATACTGAGATAGTAGTGAAGCTTCTTCCAGCCTAAAAAGGAATCTTAGAGAAGTAGAAGCAGAGCAATGCCTGAGAGCAATGGCTGAGCTATTACTATGGTCTTCATAATAAATCTTATTTATCAGATCTCTGAGACAGTTGTTTCTTGTAATAAACTAGTTTCAGTCCTGGCTGATAGAAGAAGCCTGACATTATGTATGGAATGAAGAAAAGATCATTGGAGACTATTGATCTGGATCTTGGCATCCAGGTCTCAGTAATTCAGGAGGAAGGACAAATGACCACCCAGAGGACTGCTTATGATGGGGCAGTAGCAAATAAGGTCAGCATTAGTTCCTGAATACTTTTAATGGAAGGAGACAGTTATCACAGGATTTTTATTTTTAAAACGTTTACATGGATTTAATCTAAATGATTAAATGGGCTCATTTATTTCATGTCCATAACATTAAAAGAAAATGTTACTTTCTTTGTATCAAATTGTGCTTATTCTCAAGGAAATGTGTTTCATTATCAGAACAGCCAAAGCAAATTCCATTTTAATCCAGTAGTCCCAGTAGTGCTATGATAAGAATTAAAATGTTAAATTGTGGGATCTCAGCATATTTTTTATCAGGGTTAACAGATTTATTTTTCATTTTCTTTGTTGCTTTTACACTGTTAACATGGCAAGAATAAAACTGTTCTAACCAATGTATTTATTTTTAATTCTTAATTTAATTAATTAATTTGTCATCCACCTCATAATGAAAAGACTATGTGCGGCAGTTACGGTATGAAAAGGGCAGTTATGTGGTGCATAAGGCTGAAAATACAAAATGGTCTGCCTAAAGGGGCCCCTCCATAATGCAGGGCCTATTGTTAATTAGCTGCAGTAGTATGTATTATAACCAAAACAGCTCTTAAGGTATAGTTCGCCTATTACAGTGAATTAAATTTATATATTAAGTTTAAGATTAATAATGTAAGAGGAACAAGTGAGAAGAAATAGGACTATGAGACTTAGTAGATCAGCAGCAGACTCTTTGCTGTGGATTGGATCTTGTCAAGTGCTGATAAGACCAATCTGCAGCCATAAATAAGAAGAACTTCATGAATAATTCAGTCTGAGCAGAATACTTGTGTCTTGTAACAGCTCTGGAGTAGGAATGAGAAGCCACAAATACCATGGATATATCTCATTTCATGGCCTCTGTATGAATTCTGAGATTTTTGGAGACTGTTTTTTTTTAAAAAAAATATTTCTTCTTTTCCTCCTTTTCTGAATGCTGCTTAACTTTCTGCTATATCCCATCAATTTAATTTATAGTGGTATAGTAACCTTGAAGTAGCTATATTTCTCTCTTGGGAGTCAGCCTGAAATAGCTTATTGCAGGCCAGAGAAATCTCTTCTGCATTCAATTAATATTCCCAGTAAACATACAAAATTCTGTGCCTCCTATTATGTTTCTCAGTTGTCCTCCTCTTGTAATTTATATTCTTCCTGCTGATGAAAATAAAAGTTGTAACTTTTTGTACTTCTTCCTTTGAAGTACATAAAAATCTACACATATGTTACCATTAATCTATTTTCATATTGTCATCATACAGCCCAGATGATTTACTTAACGCCTTGAATGAAGGAATCAGCCGTGCTGATGTCATCATCACATCAGGCGGGGTGTCAATGGGAGAAAAGGTATGTGTGGTAGATGGTATTGGATCAAAGCAAATGGTTTAAGTTTAAAATAAAGTAGTGGGATGAAAACTCTTTTAGAAATAAGTAATAGAGGGAAATCTTCGGGTACTGAACTTAAGGACCTGATATTAAGGCCATCAAAAAGACAGCAATCTTGTAGCACTGCCAGTATTCAGAGTCAGCATGATTACCCTTTGTCTTGTTGTTGATTCTCCTTACAGGACAGCTTATTGCCATCTCCTTATCTCAAATGTAAACTTTTCTGAGCCCATAGAAATATATACAAGCTCTGGGAAAGATGTGGCTTCTTTAAGGAGCATCTGGCAGGTACAGAGTGCTGATAATGCCAAATTCAAAGCAGTCTTTCCTGCTTCAAACACTCTCAACATCTGTGCAAAGTCTAAATGCTCTGGATCATGATGTTCCCTGCCATTTGTTGTTAGAGGAATAGTATGTTGGATAAACTTCAAAAATAAAAAAAGATTGAGATATACTAATCAGTTCTGAAACATCTGAGCAGTTGATACTCCTCTTAATAAAGGAACAATAGCATTCTACCGTCTATGCAAAATTACACTTTTGTGCTGCCCTTTTATGTTGTTAACAGTTTTATTACGTTGTTATATGGAGACATTTATATTGACATCATTTAACACCATTTGAGGAGGAAATTATATACAAATTCAATAAACTGGGGTGTGCAATCTCTTTTTGCCAAGATTTGCAAGGATTTGAATAATCTGTTGGTAGGGTTCAAAGAAGTCTTGAGTGGAATGAGAACCAAAATTGGGAAGTTGGTGAGGTTGGGGTTTTTTTAATTAAAAAAACTTTCTGATACTTTGCCCTCTCCCAAACTGTAGGGAAAAGAGCATTTATTGGATGTTTGATGTGGTTTTTTGCATAGATGGTTTGAAATTTGAATTTACAAGTGCATTATCTTAGCCTGTAAATTCTGGTTGCCTATTCTTGAAACAAATATATTATCTATGTCTTTGATCTATGCCTCCTTAGCTTCTAGGACTGGATGATGGTTCATCTTACAAATATCTTAATTAATATCCTACAATCCCTTTTTGGTTCTTTTTTTTCCAAATAGGACTATCTTAAACAGGTGCTGGATATTGATCTTCATGCCCAGATTCATTTTGGCAGGGTTTTTATGAAACCAGGGTAAGTAATATTTCTTATGTAGCATTAATCTTGCATATAATCTGGACAATATTGAGAGCTTAATGCTTTGCCTAATAACCCAAGAAACCATGTTCTAATAAGAAATATTACATTGCCACTTTATTCTCCAAAATTATTCCACTACAAGTGCTGCTAAATAATCATGCTAATTATTAGTAAGATATCTTCATACAATTCACTGTAAATGGTGCAGAAGAAGAACATTTTACTCCTGTTAAGATAGAAGAACCTGTTGAAAACAAAAGAATGAAGAAGGAGTACTAGTCAGATAGGATCTCGTTAAAAAGCATGGATGCTTTTGAATGTTAACTTAGATCGTTTGAGAGGGCTTTGCCTGCTCAGCATTTTTAATACCTCAACAAGGCTTTCTCAGTCTTTCCTTGTGTGGTCAGTGCAGTTCATCTTCATTTAATTTTGTGCCCCCTCTTTTTTTTTCATTCATTTCTGTTTCTATGTGTAGCATGTTTTGCTTCTTTTTTGCTGTTCACGCCAAAAGAAAGCAGTGGGAAGAGATGCATTTATTTGTTTTCTTGCGACTGACAATTGGGAATTGTTTAATTGATAAAATGATTGGTATACGCAGACAGGGATCAGTCAGCTTTGTAAACAGGATACTTTTATAGGCAATTCATTTTAATGAGCAATGATTCAGTTAAGGTAAATACACACACACAAACCACGCCACACCACACAATATACATATATGAAAAAGGATAACCTCAAACCTCCATAACTGGTTTCAACTGATGTTGGTAATCAGAGGTTGACAAAGTGGGAGAATTGGGATGTGTGCTTATGTTTGTAATGTTTTGGGGTATATTTTTCTTTGCGGGATCATTTTAAATTCAGAGTTGTCTTCCTTTTAAGTAAATATTGTAAATACCAAGTTTATCAAGGTGGCTCTGGCCTATGTCAGATGACAGCAATAGGAAAAACTGAAAGGGGCAAAGGAAGCTCAAAATTTATCATGGGAGAAGCAAACTTCAATCTGGAATCAGATTTATTTAACAAAACAAGAAGCAGGAAGGACTGGACTCCCCCACTCTTTCCCTTCATTAAAACATTCAGATGATTGATGATATGAAAATGTCTGATGTCTGGACTACACACCCTTGGGAGGAATGATGATCTTACCTAAATATAAGGATTTTGTGTTCTTAAATTAGAGCAAATACTTGTGGCTTCAGCCCAAAAATGGAGCATTTTAGAGCTACACAGTGGTGTAGATGTCATTTTCTTTTCTTTTCAAAGTATGCTTTGCATTGCACATATTTGTTTTAAATATAATAACCTGTTTAGTTGTGGGAAAAGATATTTTCTTCTCCTCCTCTTGCAACATTACCTCCAGCTTCTCCCTCTTCCCCTATTTTTCTTACACATTCAGGCTTATCGAGTATTATGATGTACTAATTCATATAAATTGACATTTCAGGGATGCCTCAAATATTTTTATAACTTCATTTACTAGTGCTAATACACATTCAGTGATAAAAAATTTTTTAGTGATGACTGGAAACCACTAAATAAAACAAACTTTAATAATATAGAGGAGAAAATGAATGGATGCCACTAAAATAGTCATTGATTGAGATGGGTGGCTATAGAAATTGAATAAATAAATACATAAAGTAAGCAGAGCCATATTGCTACCTGTTGAAATTATACACTACTGTAATTAATTTCAACAGGTAGCATTTTTTCGTATAGCGTTCTCATATATTAAATATCCAAATGCTAAACATACTAATCCAAAACATACTGCCATTATTCAGAGTTCATATTAATGTTTGATTTAAGAATCCACATGTCTCTGGTCTCTCAAAAGATAGCTGGTATGGTGGTCTTGTTTCCTTAAAGTGGGCAGGAAGATCTTGGTTTCACTTTTCCATTAACCACATGATTACAACTTAGGAAGTCAGGCTGTTATCTTAATCATGTACAGAGGGCAAGATGCTCTCATTAACTTAATTCCTTTTTAAAAAATAATTTTAGTGAAGTGAAAAAATAAGATAAGTGTAAAAAGAAATACAAAATAGATAAAGAAATGGTTTTTGATCTTCTGGTTATCTTCTTCATTAAATGATTATCTTCTTCATTAAAATTTCAGCATTATTCTTTTCTTCCCATAATCAACTCTTTTTAATCAGCAGATCCATAAATCACCAGTTCATTTCTTTTCATTTACACCAAAACATCCATAACAAATTTTCCAGTCTTTAATTAAAGTACTTGCTATCTTACCCCAGATCAAACAGGTCAATTTTGCCATTCTATCCTATTTACAATCCATTCCTCAGTTGTGGGTGTTTCAGTATTTTTCCATCTTTGTGCATGTAGTATTTTTATTACAATTACCATATGCAAAGCCAATCCTCCATAGATCTTTTCTAATTAGTTATTATAAGTCCTAGTACTAACATTTCTTATTTTATCTGAACGGTTAATCTTTAGAATTCTTTGTATCATTATATGTATTAGTATCCTGTTCTGACCCCCTCCTCCATCCAGTAACGAAAACCGAGGCAAGCTTAACTAGAATGTACTTTTAATAGGAAGAAGCCAAAATCTCGGTTGCTGAAAGCCAAGCAAACAAAGAGATAAGGACCTTGGCAGCAATTCAGACAAACCTTGGCAGCAATCCAGCCTGCCAAGTTAGTTACGTTACGTTCTCTTTAGTCAATGCGTTGACTTCTGCAAGAGGGGTGTCACAAGCAATCTTTTTTATAGTCTGGAGAGGAGCCTAATGACCACCAGCTGAGCGTAATTACCTCCTGTAATTGCGTAATCATTCCTGACGCTGAGTAGCTCTTCGATGGCGTGCATCCAGGAACAACTCACTGCTGGCTTCTGGATCACTCTCCCTTGTCTCCTCCCCACTGGTCCAAGGCTCAGGCGCCACCTGGTGGCCAACCAGTCTCTCTGCGCCCTGCTCTGAGTCGGAACCCTGTCCAGGGTCCTCCACAACCTCCAGGGCCAACTCATAGGGCCCCTCACTGTCGAAGTCTGGTGGCAGCTCCAACGGCTCCTGCTGGGCCACAACCTTTTTGCTTTTTCACGAGGCCACCATGCATGGTAAAACGATCCTTTATGTTTTCCACAGTTGCAGCATTGATAAGAAGTACCTTTATACATCTTAGTTATTTTTCTGATGTCATATCCCATCTCATTTTGTAAAAATTCTCTCTTAAATTGTAACACCATTTGGATTTCAGTTCTTTCCATCACCTTCTCTCCCATTAGTCCAAACCAGAATTCTTAGCCCATTTTATCATACATTCTTTAATTTGTTATTTTGCTTCAAACCTCAGCAAAAGTTTATACATTTTAACAATCACATGTTCGTGTGTACAGAATTCATTTTCAAATTCCTTTTGTTTTTCAGTTCCAATTACTTTTTATCTATAATAAATCTTTTAATTGTGCATATGAAAACCATTGAAAACTAAATCCCTTTGCAGTAAATTGTTTTTGTGAGTTCATCTCATTGATTTATTTCCAAATTATACAGCTACACTTTATTTTTATTTTTAAAAAGGTAAAATACTTTGAAAGTGCTTCATCTTTGGAATGTTAATTGCATCTCATTGAACAATGGAAGATAATTCTTAAGCATTGGAAAGTGAAGTTGGAGTATGTAGCAAACAAGCTATTTGGAACATTATTATTAATACACTTTGATCATCTGGTAAATAATTGGGTTACAAATGAAAATAGTTGACTCGATGTACAATAACAAAGATGAATTCATGTTGAAAAAATCAGTCATGCAATTAACAAGATATTGCTAATTTGGTGGGTTTTATTAGCTGAACTCTGGCTTTCTAATGGGAAAGACGATGGAATTGTGAAATACTATTAATTTACATTTATTTCCTGTGTAGTATTTTAAGAGAATCATTGCATTTTCCAAGAATGTTGAAGATAGCAGAAATGAGGCAATAAAAATATTTAAAGTTATTGACAAATTTTATAATTAAGGCTTTAGTTCATAATTTTAACAATTGGCATCACTTCCTAGGTTACCTACAACCTTTGCAACCTTGGATATTGATGGGGTAAGAAAAATCATCTTCGCGCTCCCAGGTAAGGTATATTAAATTATAAATCTCTTCATTTATGTTCATACATACCAAATAAATTTTAAACCAAATGTTGTGCAAATTGTCATGTTCCTTACTGCAAATATCTTAGTCATGCTGTCTATCATTATATCTTCCATATGTAACAATCACAATGGTCTTATTTTTCTGAATCAAAAGTGTTTTTTAATCGACTATGCTATTAATCATTCTTGCTCTTCAGTTCATCAAATATTCCTTTAAAAAGGTTTGAAAAGACTCTTGTTTATGAAGCACAATTTATTTCAAAAGTAACAAATGTTCTTATTCTTGAAACAATTCTCAAGTAACTTATCGAACAACTGTTTCTTAATCTTTAGGGAACCCTGTGTCAGCAGTTGTTACTTGCAATCTTTTTGTTGTCCCAGCACTGAGGAAGATGCAAGGAATTCTGGATCCTCGTCCAACTATTATAAAAGCCAGGGTAAGAGTTTTCAAATAAAAGGTGAGTTTTTGAGGTGCTCTGCTTAGTTGCACTAGTATCTCAGAGCTGAAGAAATAACCTTAAAATAGCCTAGAGTTCAAAGAATTCAGGTGAGGTATTGTAAAAAGAGAAAGCACTACAGAAATGCATTTAAGATGAATCATAACTATTGAGAGTGGACAGTATTTGATCAGTAAACTATTGATTTTACCATTGATTTTTGTATTATTTTTAATAGAATATTGATGCTCCTATTTTGTCAGTAAAATAAGGATATGATTTTAAAAATTGCTTCTAAGGAAAGATGCTCAGTTAAAAGTCTTGGTCATGCAGCTAATCTCTACACCTCCAAATCATTATTAGACACCATTTTCAAGTCCACATGAGGCATTAGTGAATTTTACATAGACATAAAGTAAGAGTCCCTTCCTGCCTGTCCTAATCTTCTCTCTTTAGGCCTAGAGGAAGATTAAAGTCCCTGTGGGCCTGGAATAGCTGATAAAAAGCAAAGAACAGCTCATCCCTGAACAGTTTCTTGCCCAAGGAATGTCAGTAATGGACAGCTGTTTCTTCCCCAACAACCCTTTTAAAACCTATGGCCTATCTAACTTTCCTTACAGGAATCTGTAGTATAAAAATATTTAGTTTGCAAAGTGATAATAGCATTGCAATTTGAACTTAGTTTATAAAGATTTATACAGCTCCTACAAATCCAAATTTCACCCAAAAAAATACAGATTTTTTATGAGACAGAAAAACTATTCATTTGTTCCAGTGCCTTATAATCTTCCTAAATTCCTTTTTTCTGTATTTTACAGTTATCAATTTAATGTACTATTTCAGATTGCATAGCTTTTTTACTGATAATAGGTAAATATTTAATACCTTTTTTAATGGAAATGTATCTACTCCATTGCCTTTCTATCTCGAACCTTCCTTGGTTTAGAATGTCAAAAGTTTCTTTGGCAACAATATTGTTTGGGGAAAGAGCCAAGGACGTATGATAGGATAAATTCATAGAGATACTAAGAGATACTAAGTTTGGGGCAAAACCAACATACATGTATTTGGTCTAGTCCAATCAAATTAACCTCTTTATTTCATACACGTTATTTGCATCTGTGAGCTAAATATGTGCCCTTGGAGAGGGGCATTTTAAATTTCTTAATGTCATTATATTCAATTTGTGTGTTTTCTACAGTTATCATGTGATGTAAAATTGGACCCTCGTCCAGAATACCATCGGTGCATACTGACTTGGCATCACCAAGAACCACTGCCTTGGGCACAAAGTACAGGTTAGTGCTTACACTACCTTTTTCTGCCTTTGGCAGTTTTTGTTGAGTTCACAAGTTTGAAACATGAAATGTAACGAAACACAAATGATTGGTATTTTCTCTAATTTTGAATAGCATGTAATATTTAAAACCATAAACAAAAACATGCAAGTATTAAGGAATTCCCCACTCCAGCCTTTATCCTTTCGTGCTTCAAATTAGGCTCATGAATCTCACCCAGTTATAAAATAAGCAAGAAGCATGAACATCTTCTGATTATTTCAGTCTCCATTATATGCATATATAATTATACTGTATACTTGATGCAACTTAGATCTAGTGTCTTCTATTTGCCTTTTGAAGTCTTGACATCAAATATTTCATTGTATGTAGAAAATATCTAGGTGAGGGAGAGGAGAACGTATTTTATTTACATATATAAAATTGAAAGATTTATTTGACTGTCGGGAACATCATTTCCTTTAAGTACTAAGTAATTAACAAAATTGGTGCTTCCTGATACGAAAATTCATGAACCAGATGTCTGGCTAGGGAATGAAATAGGTATTTTACTTTTGCATCTGGATTCTTTACTTGGAGAAAATGTTCATTTTGAAAACTAAAACAAGCTTAACTTGCTGTGTGCAGCATGGTGCAAACCCTTCAATTATATTATTATATCCCATATTTTCCTTTTCCAATCACTATTAGTAGGTATTGCAAATAATTCAACAAGACCCTTAGCTTCTGAATAAAACATCTTTCTGTATCTAATACTTGAAACCATCCAACAGGCAGTCAAAAGTTGAGCCTGGCTGCTTTACAGGGTTAGGTAGTAGATGCAGAGGAACATTTTTTCCACAAGCAAAGCACCTCATTGAATGATTTGCACAGCCTTACCATACAGTAAGAATCTCACAGAAATAGTTTCAAGTGGTTGTAATAGTGACTTCGTAGCTGTCATAACTTCCTATTTAACACCCTCACCCAAAATTCCCTCTCCGAAATAAAAATGCTACCCTGTTTCCCTGAAAATAAGACCTCCCCAGATAACAAGCCCAATCAGGCTTTTGAGCCTGTGCGCTCAAATAAGCCCTCCCCGAAAATATTGCAACACAGCAGCAGCCATGAAGTGACCACGCTCTCGCCTCCTGCACCTCAAAAATAATAAGACCTCCCCAAAAATAAGGCCAAGCATTTATTTTGGGGGACCAAAAGAAAATAAGATCCTGTCTTATTTTCAGGGAAACACGGTAAGTTTTTAATTTATATACACTAGAAATATACACGTATGTATGTTTGTATGTATAGAATGCAACTTCAAGTAAGAACAATGTAATGTGTGCATATTCTCATTGCCAGATTCACTGTCAATATTAACCTTCCCCACTCATATTTATGTTAGAAGATTCTTCAGAAGGACTAAAAGTCTCAAACATTGCAGTAAACCTTTTAAAGTTTTAATTGGGCCTCCTCCACCATAAAACATAATAAATTATTCTTTGTACATTTATGGAATCTGTTTTGCAGTCAAAAAGATTGTTGCTGGTTCTTCTCTGAAAAGCTGTTTCAGTAATCTTGTTAGGAGCATATGAAATTGTGATATAATTACTGTAATGGATCATTTATGTTTAAAAAAATTGCACTTTAAGCATCAGCCCTTGAATACTTTTAAATGAGTTTGTACTTAAAGGATGTGTGGTTCAGCTAGAACACACACATTTTGCAAAAGTTCTCAGATTCAATCCCAGCATCACCTGCCATTAATTGAAAAGAATCCTCATAATATTCTAGAAAAATGCATTAGCATTGACAGCATTAGACAAGACAGACCAATGGTTTGATTCAATAAACAAGTTTCCTATATTCCCATGTAAAAGAAAAATAGTTTAATCATGTTTTGCTTCCTTATTTTTCCAAGTGTCTCTCAAAGAAAAAAGCCTAGCTGAAAAGTCTTTAATTGAAAGGGATGAAGAGATGATTTTGCTGTAATATTACTGTATTGCGAAGAGAAGAGCTGCGCCTTGAAAAATTGGACATGTTGCCCAATGCAAAAGTCAGATTACCACCAGTGCACCCTAGAAATAAATCAGATAAATATCTAAATGTTGATTTATGTTCCATGAACATTTATTGTGATAGTATTATTTTAGAAATGTCATTCCAGTCATTTTATTATAACAACAACTTTCAGTATTATTATTCACCATCTGGTTTTAAATTCTGTAATATAATAATTAATAATTAATCCTTTGAAGAGATAAGTATCAGTTTAACTTTCAATAGACTAAATCATGAAACCTAATCCACTTTGGGTTACCAAGATAAAATAATGTAAGCTTCTCAGTGGCTACCAGTAACATCTGTAGGCTGCTTACAATTTTTTAAAAAAATTGCATATCCCTAAAAGGAGAGAAATAGTTTTGGTGTTATGCACTGTGCTTTGGTTTCCTATCAAATCTAGGCAGTTATAATGAGAAAGAATACTGTATCTGATCCCTAATAAACTCCATGCTGTAGCAGTAGAGTTGTAGTGTGACTGTGTTAACCACAATTGGTACTTTTTAAGCCGTTTGCTTTATTGCAGAAGACTTCTTTGAAAAGGTGGTTTGTAGTTTGGCCCTATTAACTTCTGAGTTTGTCATATCCGTGGCCAGGATGCAATTCTCAGATGATAATTTAAAAGGAAAACCATTAAGATTAAAAAGATTATTTTTTATAAAAGAAATATTGGGATAGTTCACCCCATATTATAATGCTGTTTGGTAATGAAAATTAATATTGTACTGTAAAAATTATGGGGGAAAGGCTGACAATTCATTTCTTGTTCTATAGCTAATGATTTTTTTGGCTTTCCATAGGGAATCAGATGAGCAGTCGTCTGATGAGTATGCGCAGTGCCAATGGACTGTTGATGCTACCTCCAAAGACAGAGCAGTATGTGGAACTTCATAAGGGAGAGGTGGTTGACGTCATGGTCATTGGAAGACTATGATGTTACCAGCAGGAGAAAAGTTTTGATGCATGTCCACATATCATTGACTGTATCCTGTAATATGCAACGGCACAGCTAGTTTTTCTGAATTGGATAAAAGTTGATCAGTATAAACACCTTGAACTATATTTCAAATGGATTTAAATAAATACCTTTTAAAAAAAACTTCAAAAACAAATCTTAAAAGAATTTATTCTGATTATATCAAAGCAACTTTTTCATTTCTTGCAATTGCTTTGTGTGTTCAATGCTAGTTCCAATAGCAGTAGCTTTTAGTAGACAGCGGTAGGTGCCTGCAGAACTTGTGTTTTTTCTCATCTTTAAGATTCAACTACTTATGCTCTTAAAACAAGGCTGTCTGCTTATTTATACTAGTGTAGACAACACTTGGATTTTCCCTTATTAGTATGCTTCATAACTGCTTCACCGAGAGCTTCTGCTTGTTCTTTATCGTATCTCGTGTTGATGTGCACAGTGCCAAAAGCAGAGTGGCTGCCCTGGGAACCCGATCAAGCCCCAAGGTTTTCCTCCTTGCTGCGCGTTCAGGGATACCTGTCATCCCAGCAGCCACCCAGCTTAGTACTATTGGGCAGTAACTGGATACCTTTTGTTTAAACAAACAAACAAACAAAAATTGCTTCCTTAAGTGCTGACAGCCTTTTTAACCAATACATTTAAAATGTACAGAATTAAAATCTTTAAAAAAAAATCAAAGACTGATCTTGTACAGATATTAGTGTTACCAGCATTCATGTGGAAATTAAATAAGAAATAAAAACTAATGTTAAACAACTCTGTACCATAACATTTTCTGTAATGATACTGAAATTTAAATGAATAAAAAAAATCCTGAATCATTATTTAAAAGGTGATTGTGTTAAGCCTGTTTTCAGTCTTGGGGAAAGGACACAGGGTTCAAAAATTAAATGAACACAAATATATTGGAGAGGAAAAATTGCTGATGCATAAATTTTGAATTTAAAAGGTTTTAATAAGGTTGTGTTATTTTTCTTGAGTAATCTTAAAACTGCAATCCTTGGAAGATACTTTAACAGTATAATTTATGGACATCACCAATACCGATTAACTTAAAATATAGGATTTAAATCATCTAAGAAACTGACGTAAGCGAAAGAAAATGTTTAACAACTGTATGGAATATTTCTATGTTTTAAAAATTATATGCCTCAGGAACACTATTGCAGTTAAGTATGTATAATTGGCCCATAGTCATTTGCATAATGTGACACTTCTAGGTGTTAAGTAAGTGAAGGAAATAAATTCAGTATGAATAACTAATGAGATAATCTGCAAGATTAGGATGCTGCATAGTGAAAAAATATTTTGAGTTTAGGTCTTCCCCCCACATAGCATTATTGCTCTCATGACTGCTTAAAACACTTGTTTTTTTAAAATTCCATAAAGAGGTACATAAATTATAGTTTGCCTTAACATTTGTTGCTAATAAACTGTAAAAAATATGGTGAAATGAGAAATACATTTTATTCTAGACTAGTATTAAGGCTAGTAGAAATACTATCCAATGTAGAATGTAGAACTTAAAACTGATTTGATATTGACCATGGCACTTCATGACTGACCGCAATCCTATTTCCATTTGGGAATAAGCCAAGCAATGACAGTGAATATTTCTTCTCTAGAAGAAGAATAAGTAGAGTAATGCAGTGGTCTCCAACCTTGGCAACTTTAAGACTTGTGGACTTCAACTCCCAGAGTTCCTCAGCCAGCAAAGCTTCAACTCTGGGAGTTGAAGTCCACAAGTCTTAAAGTTGCCAAGGTTGGAGACCACTGGAGTAATGAAAGTTTAACACTGTTTAGCTTAATGTCAATAGTTAGAGTTAGATAATTGCCCTCTAATAACTCCTTTGATTTATCTGCCCTTTTCACTGAACATCATAACCAGATTAGAAATAAAAGTGTGCTTTCTTAAACAGGACACTTACAAAAAAACGCAGATTTAGAGAAAATGCATTGCTTTTCATTTTTGTTTAAATTGGGTAAAACATCTTTTTACGAATGAAGATAATATCACAACTTGTTGATAATAGCACAAAGACATTTGTATAACTCTTGGAAAGAAATCACTACTTAATCTCATTTTGTATTTCAAAAATCTTATTTTACAAATGGCTTTAATCCAGATTGATTCTTTGGGCAGTCATTGATACTGTTGAGTCTGATTTTTTTCCTGTGTATATCTATAAATTTCTGCTCTCCATCAAAAATGCCTTTCTGTTTGTATTTTGTAGTTCTCACACTTCAGTGTTCTAAGATTATTTGCCAACACTGGCATGTTCATTCACTGTTTCCTGTGCTAAAGTAAGTGTTTTGCTATACTATACCTGTTGACAGGTCCCTTCCTTATGCTTACTAATATCTCTTCTCTGAAACTTATCTTATATTTCACCTTATATCTATATTCTGCGGGTTATACTTTCTGTGCAGTTTTTTAAATCTTTCCTTCAATTCTGAATAGATATATAGAGCATTGTGTTCTAAGGGAATATATTCACAGCAAAGATAAACTCCCAAGTAGACTCAACGGCGCTCAGAGAGAGTGCTAATGACCAAATGACTGTAATCCTTCCATTCCGCCCTACCATCCTGTCAGAAGCTATCCTTCCATCCCCCACTACCATACAGTCACAATTGATGAAGCTTCTTGAATGAGAAGCAAAGCGGCTTCTCTTTGCTCAAAGAAAAACAGTCCAGTTTCCTTTTTTTTAAAAACAGTACCTTTGAGACATCTATCACTAATATCTTAATTATATTAAACAACTATTTATTAACTTCACATCAGCTTTGATATTTCAACTGCCATCAGGAAAATCAGAAAAATAGTAAAAATTTGATGAAATAATGTTAAGCTATGTACTGGCCAATTACTCCAAACAAAGAAATTATATAGAGAAACTATATAGGAAAACACTGTATATGAATGGAAGGAAAGATGTAACATTGAGGGAGAGGAGCAAAATAGTTAGCTGATAATAATCTATGCTGGCTGGGTACTTCTGTGAGTTGAAGTTAACCCATCTTGAAGTTACAGAGGTTAAGAAATACTGATCTAATGAAGCAAGAGAAATTATTTCTGGAAGAAAACAACAGTTTGCAGAAGGTCCAGATGTCAAACAAGCTAATGGTCCTGAAAGACCTTGTTATTTCTTAATAACTATAGGTCAATATAGGTAGTACATCCGTAGTGGCACAGTGGTTAAGAATGCAGTATTGTGGGCTACTGCAGTTTGGCAGTTCGTTTCGCACTGGCTCAAGGTTGACTCAGCCTTCCATCTTTCCGAGGTGGATTAAATGAGGACCCAGACTGTTGGGGGTCATATGCTGACTCTGTAAACCGCTTAGAGGGGGCTGTAAAGCACTATGAAGCGGTATATGTCTAAGTGCCATTGCTATTCTAGTCCTTGACTTACAACTGGTCAATTAACAACTGTTCAGTTACAATAGCTGCACCACCACCATCACGACTACCATCAGTCATGTGAACACGTTTTGGGAATTTGGTAACTGACTCATCTTTACAGCTGTTTGCAGCATCCCATGACGACGTTACTGCAATTTGTTGTAATTTTTTGGCTGGTTTCTGGCATTCACTTCCAATTTCCAGCAAAATGGTTGCTAGAAGTATTGGGGACAACTGGTTTGCTTAATGACTGGGTGATTCACTTAATGACTGTGGCATTTGCTTAAAAACTGCCACAAAAAAAGTGGAGGGGGAAAGCAGGTCCAATCACATGATGCATTGACTTATAATCACAAAAATTCACAACCGTAATTCTGGGCTCAATTAGTCATACATCAAGGACTAGCTATATAAATAATGTTCAAATACTGCTATCCTTTGTACACTTTGATAATAGTTCAATTTTAACAGAATGGTAGTCCAATATGTAGGGAACCATTGGTCCTCCACCTGTTTTCTAGATGATGTGCTATTAGGGGAATAAGGTATATTGTTGTTGTTTTAAATAATATAATGTAATTCTAACATGTCCTTTCATACATTTTTTGTCTTTACATTCTCTTAAGAGTTCTTTTTCACCATCCCTTGTTCAGTTCTGAAATTTAACTGTGCCTTCTCTCTGTGTATGGATCAGTTGGTATCAAAATCCTTTCTAGATCACAAAAGAAGTCACCTATGTGTGAAAAAAATAAATATGTTGTGTGTGAACAGAATGAATAATCACTTTTTCCCCCAGACCTATTTCTAAGGCATTATTATAACAATTATATTTCTCATTTTCTCTTGCAGAAGGATATTAAATTTTGTCAGCCTTTATGTCATATGTAAAAGAAGTAATACTTCATTTTCAGATAACTGGATGGCTATAGTAAGAGTTTTGCTAATATATGCCAGTCTTTCATATGTCACCAGTCCAACCCTTATGGGAACTGACTAGAACTGAAAATTATCATCTGAAAGTGGTTTAGTGCTCTTTGTGAAAATTACTAACATAATAAACTCTTCAACTCATCTGTCAGAGAAAAGTGAAAATAGAATGTGGTTGATTGCGTTTGAAAGCAAAGCTCTTAGTCATTTATTCTTAAGAATACCCATAATCTTGAATGGAATATTAAAATATGTGTTATAAACGTGATCAAATTCTGCCTTTGAAATCTTTATTTCTTGATGAGATTAAAGATTTCACTTCTCTTTGTTACAGATCATATTCACTAATCTTCTATAGTTTTGATGAGTATAACACCTCCAATATTAATGTGCAGAAAGTGTCCTTCTCCATCAATTCTCACTTCCATCATCACACCTGAATGCCAATGATTTACAAAGCTAACTATTGCTTCTTTCCTCTGAAAAATGAGGAAGTTGTAAGTCCAGGCAAACATGACCAAACTTAGTCATTTATGTTTTGTGGGAAATTTCCTTCATTTGGAGCTTTCTTTGCACCAAGAAAACCATTTAGTCATGAGTTTTGAATTTCGTTCAGCATAGCTCTCATTCACCTTTTACCTAAAGAAACAAAGTAGCACTCATGAGAGCCAACATATAAATCTGTACAACCTTGAATCGGAATTATTAGCACAACCTTTCTAAGACAAATAGAAAGAGGAAAAACAGATTTTTAAAAAAATAGATGTATTCTATGCAATGCTTTGGGGTTTTGGAAAATAATGGAAGAAGCTGAGAATGCAACCTTTTAGAACCATTGGCTTACTTTTAGAGCTACAACTTTTGGATATAATCAATAACTATCAATATCTGCAAGAGACGTATTTTTTTAACCATTGAAAAGGAAATTTGAAGAGTCAACAATACAAATTATCTTGTCAATTCTATAACACTTGAAATGGCTGGATGGAAGTAGTATGTTACCTATAAGATACAGGATGAAGATTGTACTGAATATCACTGTCCACTTCCATTTTCACACCAACACTTGTGCTGTTAGGTGGAAGCAAACAACAGCACTGTGGAAAAGCAGAGTAAGCAACTCTGTTTAAATGAAATTACTATTATTTGCAGAATTGGATGGTGGAGGAGGTGAGATTGAAGGACAGAAGTTAGCAATATATGTACTCCAAGCACCCAATCTGTGATCTGCAAACTGAGGTTCCCTCAATCAGATTCCTTCAGAAAACCATCTTAGAGTTTCAGCTGCTCTTTTGCTTTCCACTCCTCCCAGGAATTCACGCTAACTGAAGATATAGTCAGTTTTTTTTTATTTCTCACCCAAGTCTTTCTTACAAGAACAAGAAACTTTCTTACAAGAACAAGACATTTTCCATTAGCTGTGTTGTTGAAGAATTGTAAAGTTATATTTTACATCAATGAAACCATAGAAGGTCTTGCAAAAACTTGCAGTAGCGATCTGTGATTGGAAGACACTATTTGAAATTCTGGACAATAACAAAGACCACCACACAATTCACTATAATTAAAATATATTCTGTGCTCATCTAGAAAATCTTAACTGTATGCTTAACAAAATCATATTAAAAAAAAAATTGAGCTAACTTTCTATTGAGAATCTATTCCACAGAAGTCTCAAATTAAGGATATGATGAACACACAATTAATGCAGACTGTTTTTCAAGCATGCATTTTAATATCTAACAACTATTTTTATATAGCATGAATTTAATAAGAACCAAACTGCTATGTTACCTTACAATTTGCTTTTAAAGATACTTCTTTTTTAGCTGAAGTTTACCCAGCCAAATGATGCTGACTCTGTGCCTAGTACACAGAAATGTTTACCTTTCCAAACATACTCAGGAACTTAATTTTTGCTATGATTCTTGGAGAAAACACTTGCTTCTCTCACCATGAAAAGGTTAAGCAAACATTGTAGTGATTCCTTTGTCTGACATAAATATGCTAATAAGGCATTATTGTCTCAGAACATGCTGGGACTGGATAGGTTGGTTTATTTTTCAAATCTTTTTTTCCTTGTATCCACTGTTTGCTTCTGTCCAGAGAAAAATCCAGGAACATGCAGACAATCTATACAGTTTTATGTAAGAATTTTGTTGTATATTGCATAATTTTACTATGACACATTCTAAATGCTGTTAATCTTAATATTGTGAACTTTTAGATTTTTGATTAAGGCCCATCTTTAACAAAATAGCTTGAATACAAGCTATTTTAATTCTACAATCATATTTAGGACTTAGAACCCTGAATGACTTGGTGAAGAACAATTTTTCATTGTGTTCTTCACCATTAATAATTAAAAGGTTGCCACTAAATAATACTATCATCAGTTTGGGCCAAGATAATTGCCTATAATCTTCAACACTGAAGATAGTCCAGAGATTAAATGTCCTCAGCTGTTTTTCCCCACATCCCTATTCAGATCATTTTATTGAATTGTATCTGGTAATAATTTCTGAACTGTGCAATGGATTTGGTATACTTCTAAGAATTCCACAATGCAATCCAATTATGATAGCGTGCAGGGATAATGCTTATTATGTGTTACTGACCATATTTGTGCTGTCTCAAGGATTTCAGTATTTATTTTCTTCATTTCTAGCATTTGTCAAAAACAACTGATGATGTCGATATTTGGTCCATTCTGCTCTTTAACGTATTTCACTCTTAAATAAATGTGTATGTTCTGAAACAGAATGTATAAAGAATTAGTATTAAATCAAGGGTGAAATTCAGCAGGTTCTGACAGGTTCTGGAAAACCAGTAGCAGAAATTTTGAATAATTCTGAGAACCGGCAAATACCACCTCTGGCTGGTCGCAGAGTGGGATGGGAATGAAGATTTTGCAATATCCTTCTCCTTGAGTAGAGTGGGAATGGAGACTTTGCAGTATCCTTCCCCTGGAGGGGTGGGAATGGAGATTTGGCAGTATCTTTCCCCTGCAGTGGAGTGGGAATGGAGATTTGGCAGTATCCTTCCCCTGGAGTGGAGTGGGAATGGAGACTTTGCAGTATCCTTCCCCTGGAGTGGGGTGGGAATGGAGATTTTGCAGTATCCTTCCCCTGGAGTGGGGTGGGAATGGAGATTTGGCAGTATCCTTCTCATGGAGTGGGGTGGGAATGGAGACTTTGCAGTATCCTTCCCCTGCCATGCCCATCAAGCCAAGCCCACAGAACCATTAGTTAAAAAAATTGAATTTCACCATTGTATTAAATATTGTGTCAAGGCTAATGAATAATATCAGATAACAGTGAGGTTGCTTTTTTGGAGTTTCTCACACACAAATTTTAAAAAGCCATCGACCGAGAAAGCAACTGCACCAAAAAGAGGTTACATGTAGCCATTTCCTAACAACCAGTTCCATGATTCTTATATTTACCAATACCTGTCATTTCTAGCTACACCTTACTGCATGATATCAGGTAAGCTCTCCTGTTTTGCATATGCTCCTATTGTGACACAACTTTATTTCACTTCTGAATGCCAATGATTGTTTGGAAAATTCTATAAGGGAGCACTTGCTTCTTGACCTTTATTGGACCATTGGACCTTTAATGGACCATTAGAAACTGTTGGGGGGAGGGTGTTGTTGGTTTTTTTTTAACTGTTCATCTTGAGAAATCCAACGGCCTATAAAAAGAGAAAGAAAAATAAGATTTTAGTAGCCAAAATAAGATTTTTAGTAGCCAAGCCATTCACTGTGTGGGGTTCCAAAAATTTAAGATGCCATTTGCAATAGTCTCTTTTTTGTGTGCATTACATTTGGGACACATGGTTAAAAATGTCAAAGTTTTGATCATATGATTTCAGTTGCTTTCCCTACCTCTTTGAATATATTTCACCCTTCTCCCCAAATGGAAACTCCTTTTAAGGTGAGAAATTATTAGAAATTGGTAACTTTTTCATTGTTGAAATGTAACAGATATATATACATATATGTTTGATTATTGGCCTGCCATCTTTCTAATTCTAGGCTAAAAAATAATGTTTTAAAACTCAATAATGAAAATGTCTTTACCTGCTTATGGAGGATGGGTTTATTAGTTGCTTAAATCCAAAACAGGAATGCTAAAAATGTGTTTGGCATGCACACTTTTTAAGGTGAACTTATCCAACAAAAATCAATATATGAACTTGAAAACACCATAAGTAAAAACTCTGTCTCAACAAATATACATATATTAAGGAGAAATTCATACACTGTAAACTGAAAATATATATATATTTAAAGTCACAACCCCTGGTATGCCCAAATATGGGAGGAAGGTCACACTTCCACTCTCTGTCTT